TGGGGAGGCCCTTGCACTTGTCAGGGAAGCGCTTATTCCACTGAGCCATCTTCCCACACCCCTCCTTTTTAAAAATTATTTTATTTTTTATTTTTGGCTGAATCAGGGATTGAACTCAGGCTTTTGCGTGCCAGGCAAGTGCTTATTCTACTAAGCTATCTTCCTGGCCCCGGCCTTTGCGCTTGCCAGGCAAGCTTATGTTTCTAATATGGTAATTTTGCTAGAAACCCAAATTACAAATTGCTTTGTAATCTTAAATAAATTCAATAATTAAAGATATGAATTCAAATTTTAACTTAGGCACTTACTATATGACCTTTGGTAAATTATTTAACTTCTCTGAGCCTTACTTTTTTTTTTCTGTATTTAGGACAGGGTCGACAGGGTCTCACTATGTAGACTGGACTCGTAGTGATCCTCCTGTTTTCAGCCTCCCAAGTGCTGGGATTACAGGTGCGTGTCACCACGTCCAGGCCCAGTCTCAATCGCAGTCTCAGAGCACCTGGGGACGGGGCCAGCACAGCAAAACAGGAAGTACTCTGCCTAAGAAGGTGCTTTAGTCCGCTGAGCTATCAGGCCAGCCCTAATTTTTATAACTTTAAATGTTAACAAAGGCCTTATTTGAAGGTCATTTGAAAGAATCATAAAACACAACATGTTAGCTCTGTCAATAGAAGATACTATATTTACAAATATTTAAAACTCACTGCATTAGTGATTTCATTTTCCCCAGTATTTCCTTTCTTTCAGCAGTATTATCTATGGTATGTATCTCTTACGATTCTTCACTACTACATCACCTCCAAAAGCAAACTCAAACAAAACAAAGACAGGGAGTAATGGACTGATGACTTGTTTTTAAAATTTTCATTAATTTCACCTCCCTGAAATATCTTCAAAACAGCATTCTTTTATGGACTTCTTTTACAGTATTGTGGCTCTGTGAATTACTTTCATAGTATTTTTATTCTCATTAATGGAAATGTCACCTGTATTTCAAAAGCCTATTTAAGACACCTTATGTAAAAACTTTTGTCTTAACTAAGCATCTTTCTTCTGTAAATCCTCAGTGCATATATTCTTCCCTTATGACATTTATAGTAAACATCATATTGTCATTACAGGTTAATTATCTCTTATCTGAAAGGGTTGGGACCAGAAGCGTTTCACAGTTCAAAGTTTCAGATTTTGTAGTGTTTCCACAGACGTTACCAGCTGAGCATTTCTAATACAAATGCACAAAACCTGAAATGCTCCAAAAGCCACACCTCATATGTTTAAAACACTCTGAACTTTGGACCATTGCAAATTTTTGGATTTTGCAGGTTAAGGAGGGATACTCCACTTGCATTTATGTATTTTTATTATAGTATCCACTCTACTGGAATTTAAGTGTCCTAAATTATTTGTAACATAGTATATAGCAGGCACATTGAATTTTCTAAAGACTATAACACAACATGAAACATAAACATAGTTTAAATACTTATGGATTTTTAAATTGAGATTATTTGCTATGTGTTTATATCTTGCTTTTTGCTTTAAGATTTAAATAAAACATTACTTATCCAACAGTGTTTTTCTTCTGTAAAACAAATGAATAAAGCAAGTATTTTTGACTCCATGGGAATATGAGTCATGCATTTACGCAATAGGAATACTGGAAAAATGACAGTAGTGAGTCTATCTGCCTGAAAGGACCTACTACAGTTATTTATTTATTTATGGAATATCATTAATTTTGAAACAAATAAGTGACATTTAGAAAGAACTGATGCCATGTGGTATCACATGTAATGGATTCACTAGTAAATACACATTTTTTTCAAATTTATATTTTACAAAAGTTTATACCACACCAAAGACAAAGTGGAATAATTTAACCAAAATTGAAATACTAATCAAACTGAATAAATAACAAAATCTCAAAATTAAGTAAGATGACATTTCAATAACAGAAAACGCCTCATCAGGATGGTGCTCCACATGCTTCAGATTCTGGAGCACTTCAGCTTTGAGATCTCTGCCTTAGGGAGTACAAGTGGAGCGTCTACACAAATTATAGTATTTGAAACATTTCTAATCCCAAACCTACTAGGGAAGAGAGTTAACATGTACTGATCAACTTTCCACTAGAATTAAGTATGTGAAGAACTGGAAAAAACCCTAAGATATCCAGACCACCTTTACCAAGCCAAATCCTAACTCTAATTACAGCCATCTTTAATCCAGCCCCTACCCCAAATTTCAACCTATATGGAAACAAACCATTTTCTTTTGACATTATCCTGGAGGAAAATTGGGACAGATGGTTAAGATGTCTAATTTTTAATGACATTAAAGCACACTAACTGGTGAATGTAGAGCATATTTGACAAGCAAAGAATAAGGATAAAACAGAAATAGGACCTAGCCTCTTTTTAGACATTGTTTAACACTTACACTACTACAACTATTACCTTTAGTTTACAAAAAAAAGTACTGAGGATCAAAGAGGTTAATAAATTTCTCATATATTCATACACCTAGGGCACTAACTTGCAAGGCAAGATACAAAACAAAGTGGATCTGGCCACTGATCCTTTTTTCTTAGCACCCATTCTGCCTCTTGGGTCCATATTAGCTACTGTACCAGATCTCAGCCAAAAGGCCAGGTGTTAGGTTGGTATCAGAAAAGATGAGGTAAAAACAGCCTTGTATATCCTATGCCTTGCATTATTTATACTACTGACTCCACTATGGGCCCTGTCCATTCCTCACTTTACATTGATCTCTCCATCCTCTAAACTCTTCTTCTTTTTATTTTGTATTTTAGGGAAGGGTCTACAGGGTGTTCAGGGTCTCACTACTAGATCGGACCCATACTGATCTGCCTGTTTACAGCCTCCCAAGAGCTGGGATTACAGGCGCGTACCAACACGCCCAGTCTCAATTGCCGTCTCAGCGTGCCTTGGGGGTGGGGCCGGCATGGAAGGCCAAGAGATCGAAGCCCCTGCCCCGGCTATACTCTTCATCTTAGCTTGGCATTCAATGGTGCTTCATCCTAAAATGCTGCGCTAAACATTCACAGACTACTTCTTTAAAAAGTGAGGTTTACTAAAGGTAAAATGCCTGTACACTTCCACATTTTTAGAACCGAACTCCAAGCAACAACATGATCTGATAGCATTTACAGAAAAAGGGAAAGAAGGCAGCGAAAACTACTTAATTGGGTACAACTTGGTCAGCCATTCCACTGATTTAGTTTAACGAGTTAATCAGCTACAGGGCCACTCACAGCCAAAGCTGCATTTATTGCAATTAGATACTGTATTGGTCCACTGAATCCAACTGACACACTTCCTTCAAATCTATGGGGTCTTGCAAATTGTAATACCCTTCAACAGTATCCAGCACTAACCACGTATGATGCATGGTTTCTCTGTGCCTTCTCCAGACCTCAAGATTGTGTGGCAGGTAGTCAACATGTTCTTCGAAGTAGAATAAAGGTGTGGCTACAAATCTTCTCTGTCAAGGTTTATCATTTCAATTTCATTTATTTTAAATTATAACTCGTGACCGCTGTTTACTTGCTGAAGTCTATCTACAACTCTATGAGGAGGCAGAGAAAGTCCAACGTAAGTGGGCTGGCGCCTGATAAATTCAGACGCTGCACCTGCAGCTGGTTAGCTGCCGCCTGTTCTGCAACACTGTGAGTCTCATCTGCTCACCTGTTACAAGCGCTGTTTTGCAGCCCAGCATTTACAGTCTGGCTACATGGCTGCAGGACGCGGTGCTTTAGTTTACCCTTTAGGAAAGAAGAGCTGCAAGGCAAGACACTTATACTTGGGTAAGCACATGAGAAGGGCTCTCCCGACGCGCGAGCACACGCCACGGCGCACAGGCAATTGCCGACGGGGACCAGCTATGGACACCACACCAAGTCTCCGGAAGGAGGCGGCTCCGGGCGCGACTCTCGGGCTCCACAGGACGCTGCTCTGGACACCACGTCCTGCCTCGTGCCCGAAGCGGAGGAGACACGCGGCCCGGCGCTGGAGCCCGCGCCCCTGTGTGTCCCCGCGCCAAGGCGCCTCCCGCGGCCCGGCGCAGGGCGCAACGCAGTCCCCGGAGGGCACCGGGAGGCCAGCCGGCCGGGGACCCGCCGCCCCTTCCCTCCACACTCCGCGCCTGCGGCCCTCCGCACCTGCAAGTCCCGCGCGCTCGGAGGCCGCGTCCCGGCGGACCTCCGCTCCGCTTCGTCCCTCTCCGCGCTGCCGCCCTCCGCCATCTTCAGCCGCCTCGCGGCGCCCGCGGGGGCGCGCGGCCCACGACTTCCGGGACTGGTTGGTTGCCTGGCAACAGCGGGACGAGCGCGGAGGGGCGGGGGCCTCCGTGTGCGTGCGCGCTCCCGCGCCGCCGGGCGGCGTGTCCGTCTCGCCGGTTCGCGCCTGTTCTGTCAGGTTTGCCTCGCAGGAGCTTCTGAGCCTTGTCGCGAGTTCGTTCGCTCGCGCTCGAGGGCTCTGTAGGTCGCCCGCGAGGGAAGAGTTGACTTGCGGCCCTCTTGAGGCCGCAGTGAGAACGACTCTGGTATTCACCAAGCGCGCGCGGCAGCCTCTCGTCTCCAGCTTTCTCGCCTTTCTCATCTCTCCCTGGACTGGATGGCTGGTGCGTCGGTCCCCTTCGCAGCGTGAGCTTCTGCTGAGGGCGCGGGACACAGCGCCTCTGACACTCAGCGCTCAGAGCCGGGGCCTGCTCGCCTCTCCTCCCTGGGCTGGGATTGACTTAGCACTCCTGACCTGTCCCAGGCCTCTCATGACCCGAGGCGACAAAGCGAAAAGAAACAGCCGCAGTGCTAAGAAAACACAGTCTAGTGGGGAAAAGAAAGGAGCAAACAGGTGACAAGCACTTGCAGGACAGCTTGGTGGGAAGTGTTATGCAAGAGACATGGGGTGCAGAGGGGAGCATTATGGCCGAAATCTAAAATGTCCTGCAAAAACCTCAAGTGTGTGGAAGGTGAGTAGATCCTGGGGTGCTGCGCTCAGCAGGGGACTCACCGGTCATGGGGACTCATCGGTCATGAGGTCAGTGCTGAATGTACTGTGGGGGGAAGGGGGGGTCCCTGGGGCTGTGACCGGGAAGGGTACCTTCTGTTCCTGGGTTCCTCCTTGCTCTCCCTGCTTCTGGTTGTCCTGGCTGGAGGACTTTTCTCCGCTGTGCTCCCCTGCCACCCGGATTCCTCTTTGGAGCCAGCCTGCCATGGACCCAAACTGTGAGCCAAGATAAACCTCTCCTTTTTTAAAGGTGTCTGTTGGGTATTTTGTCTCAGCGATGGGAAAATACGACAAGGACTATTTTGCTGGTACCTGTTGGTATCTGCTAAGTGCTGGAATCCAGAGCATGCTACCCCAAAATATGCTGCTTTCCTAGGTTGATTATTTTAAACTCAAGACACTTGAAAACCAGCAGATGCAAGATCACTCCGACTTCCCTTTTCCTTTCTGGAGGCGAGAAGCTGAACTGTGTGAAAGATGTCTTTCCTATTCCAGGTGGAAAGAAAGCTTCCCACCATAGACAGGGAGGAGAGGTGGTGGGTGGTCCATACGTTGTGACCTTTTCATGTGATGGTGGTCCATATGTTGTGTCAGCTTGAGATGTTGGAAGCTTGGCTGGATCTGCCTGGTGATTCCATGCTCTGGGGATGGGGGCCCTCCACCCGTGTGGGGAGGGCCCACCCTAGAAGGACTCAGCACAAATAGGGTATGAAAAGGGGTTGAGGAAAGCTTCTGTGCACCCTACTTCCTTGGAGGAGCTTGATTGATGCAGTTGTTCCACTTCGGAGGAGCACTGATCGTTTCAGCAGCCACTGCCACTTTCTCGGAGGATCTCTGGTCTTCGCAGTCAGTGTAGGAGGAGAGAGGCTTGATGGACGCCGCAGCTGCTGCTCTTCGTCCGCTCTTTTTGCTTTCTGCTACCATGAACTGTTGCCCTCTGCCTTGGAGCCAACAGAGTATGGACTGAAGTCTCCACTAACTGCACTAGATAAACCTTTCCTTCCTTCATTGTGAGTGTTGGGTGTTTGTCCCAGCAATGAGAGAAAAGTAAGAGAGGCACACACTTATCCAGCTCTCCATAGTTAGGTTTCCACAGTTGCCATTCTTTGTTCAGTAGTATATGAACCGAACCATTACTCTTCATTTTCTGGTGAAGACACCCAAGCTCATGTAACTTTTTGTTTTTTGAGGCAGTGTTTCACTGTGGCCTTGAACTAACTGTGTCCCTGGTTGGCCTCAAGCATGTGATGATCCTCCTGGCTCAGCCTGCAGAGTGCTAGGATTAGAAGGCATGTGTAATCACATTGGGATTATGTAGACATTTTTATAAAATAAAGTACCCATGGTTTTCTCCTGTTAATCTGTTTACTTCAGTTTAATTTTGTGACCCAGAAGGAGACTCTGGGAGAGTTGGGGAGAATTTGTTTCTTCCTTACAGTTTACTGCACAGATAATCTCATTTATCCCTCTGCCAGGTAAGCATTTTTATAACCATATTTTACTTAAGGAAATCAGATGACAGCAACTAAATTCATCCTGTAGTAAATGGCAGTACCAGATACTAAATCTTTCCTCTGTTGTCCTGATATAATTTTGAATTTTCTGTCACTTCATTGAAATATTACCCATAGAACTCAATGCCAACTGAATCTTGAAGATGCTTGTGGTTAACACTGGACTAGAAAGGAGCACATGGGAAGTCAAGGACCTGTGTCAGTATACAGAGGCTTGGAATATTATATTCATGTCAACAGAGAACTCACAGGTGAAATTTAGAAGTGAGGAAAGATGGATATAATAATGGAATGGAGACAAATGTAGATGAGTGAGGTGGACCCCAAGCAGATTCTGAAGAAACACATACTTTGAATAAGTGAATAAATGGATGAATGAGTGAAGAAAAATTGGATCTCAAACCCAAACCCAGGTTTGACTAACCTCTAGTGCTCATTTCCATTCATTGAAAGTCAAGAAATAACAAAATGCACCAACAGAGATTCATCACACAGGTAGGAGAGATAGAATGAAATACAGACTTAACCATGGGGGTGGGTATAAACTTCCCAACACCAACTTGACAGTTTAAATGGAATTCAAATTTGTGTAATTTTACTAATTCTGGATACCACTGATGTCAAGATCAGAGGCCATTGAAATATACAATGGCTTTGTTTTGTTCTTTAAAAAGTCATTTTAAAAATATTTATAAAATAGAATATTTACAGTTGATAATTTTCATGGATTGCATATGCCATTTTGTGTAATCTACAAATCCTTTCTGGGTTACCTATAGTTCCATTTATAGAAGTAATTGAATAAAAAGAAGTAAGATGAATTTATTCATGTGTCTCAACTATTGGATGGCAGAATTAAGATTTAAATTGAAGTCCATTGCATTCAAAAGTGCACAGTTTTCTTTTTATGCCATCTCTGGGTCCCTTGGGGCTGTGCTGTAGCTCCTGACATTGGTGACTATCCCTTTTCTGAGAGTCTCAGAGCACTTCTCAACACTTCTTACTCACTGGCTAATCCTTTTGAGCATCCCCTAATATTTTCGGTCTACCTTGCCAGTGGTGATGTTCTTAGGGTTTCTTCTGCAGCCCTCTTACTTTCTCACTGTCTATGCTTTCATTATTCAATATCACCTACTTTTGTTTCTACCATGTGCACACAGTTGATTCTCATTATTCAGAGTAGTTATGTTCCATGCTGAAGATACTAAATATTCCAAAACTGAATTAATGCTGTTATCATATACATTAGATTCCTGTGAGCCTCTGGTTACATTTTCATCAAGTGGTTAATATATAACATTGTTTTATGTCTGCTTCTGTGTGAAGACACCTTATCTAATATATATATTGATTCATTAACATTGAAGTCATTGACACTAGCACCACAACTCATTCCTGAAGGAAGCTTCTCTATCTAATACACACATTTTCTCCTAGGCACACCCTTTTAGGAACACCAGACAGCGCTTCAACCCTATCTATGCTTGTGAGCAATTTTCAATAACAAAATCACCAAAGAAAAGCAAAAAATGAAAAAAATAGCAGTGAATTAACTACAAAAAAAATACTCATTCGTAGTAGAGCAGCTGAAAAAAGGCAGAGTGTTACTTTATCTCGGGCGGGCATATTTTCACTGGGTGACTCAAATTTTTGCTTCTTGCCCATGTCTGTTAATGACCAAAACAACATTGCAGGTATTGGTTTTGTGGTGACAAATGTTAGTGAGTAGTGGCTCAGAGATAGCCCAGTGAAATAAGTGCTTGCCTGACAAGTGCTAGGTCCTGAGTTTGACTCCTGGTACCACCAAAAAGAAAAAGAAAAGGTTAGTGAGTAGCCAAGATTTCAAAGTATGAAAACTGCAAATAATGTAGATTGACTGCACCTGGGATTTCCAAATCTATTACTCTGGGAAGCAGGGGTTTCCACTAGTCCAGACCTACACTTATAATTGTCTTTTTAACCTTTACTTCCTTCTGGATGTCTCAGGAACACTGTGTTTCAACCTTGAATCTCTTTTGTTTTATACAACTACTGCTTTTTTATTTTACCATTAATTATGTCACTACATTCACATATAATATAGTAATAATTCAAAAACATCCCTTTTTCCTTTAGCATCCCAGGTTTTGCTACTAAATCTGCATCCCCCCCCCCCGCAGTATTTCTTCAATATGTCTTCTTTTTACCTTTACTTCAATTGAGAAAATTCTTCTAATTTCTTATCTAGACTGTCACACTAGCTTTCTGGTTACATCTCTGTGCTTCTGCTGTTTTCCAGGTTGATCTCACCCCTGTTTTTCTTTTCTTTCTTTTTTAAAAATTTACTTATTTATTTAGTATAGGGTCTCACTATGCAGCTTTAACTCATAGTGATCCTCCTATCTCAGCCTCTCCAGCACTGGGATTACAGGTATGCACCACCATGCCCAGTTTCTTATCACTGTTTTGCAAAAGCACAAAGTTGATTATGTAGTTTCTCTGACGCAGTTGTCCCTGTCTACAGGCAGGTATCTATAGGAGGATAAGGGCCAGCTCTTTATGAATTTTGAAGCTCTATTTAATTAGTAGGGTTTTTATTTTTTCCAACATTATCTCAATCTCTCTACAAGTACTTTAGCAGTCTTAATACACTTATTGATTGGAAAAATGTCATGTCTTTTGCATCCAACTAACATTTCCTTTGCATTTGCCTTCTTTATACCTAATAAACACATTTCATCTTTCATGATCATTAATTTAAATGTGACCATGG